TTACCTCAAACTTCTTATCAAACAAGCGTTACTAACTCTTTTAATAGTATGTCATTTTATCTTCATACTCTCTTCTGTTACTTTTTTTGGTTATTCTTTTTGTTGTAAATATTTTTTTTTTCTTATTCTATCATTCTAATTATAAACATGTTATATCATTTTTATTTACAGCATTGCATGTTGTGTTTTGCCTTATTTTGTAACGGTTAAAAGGTGTTCTTTGTGGTAATAGTCATGAAATAAGAAAATTTAACATTATCGGAAATTTCTTCCATGAGCTTTATTGGTTAAATTGATCCTCAGTATCCAATGTATACAATCAAACGATGGACTAAAACATATGAAATTATTTAAGTATTCTCTTAACTCTTAAGAAAGTGTTATGCTTGCCACAGATGATATCTGAAAGGTTACAGCAAGCAATAAATATGTACTAAAGGTAAGAAATAGGATAGAATATATTATGTAATGTAATTATGGTTACGGCTCGTCGTATTTTAAAATACAAATGTGCTTTGGATTTCAAAAATATATTTTGATAGTGAAAATACAAAATGAATGTGTTTCTTTCCTAATTCATCATCTTGCTTTTGATATTTCTTCGCCTTAACTGCATCTTTTATTGATGGTATTTCATCTAAAAATCGTATTTTCTTTTGCAGATTTGCTTTCTTTATTGCCCGAGTGAAAAAAATGCAGAAAAATCGTACTAAACAGCACATGCTTCGTGTTTTCCTTATCTGGGTTGCATTTGATAACAAGTTCACTTACGGGGAACAATAAACATATGAATAAACAACGAATGAAATTTGTCTTAAAACAGCACAGGAAAAAAATTAGTGATGAAGAACACAATAGAAAGAGAGAGATAGGGGTTGGAGAGGGAAAGGGGGGAGGAAGGGAAAGAGAAAGAAGGAAAATGGAAGAGAGGGAGAGGAGAGACTGAGACTGAGAATTAGCATTATGGAATAAGAGTAGATGAACGATAAGGATAGAAAGACCTTCTTTAAGTATAAGTGTCGAAAGAAATGCCAGGAAAATAAAATCTTGTCAAGTATTCGGTTAAGGAAGTTGACAGTTTCTTTTTCTATTACAAAGATTAACCATATAGTTGAACGTTAGTCGAAAGGATTTTTATACGTTTTATAGACCTTAACCATACTTCAGAGAACGGTGAACGCTTACGATGAAAATGTAAAAAAATAGACGTTCAACGAAATGATTTTCCTGTGATAAATGTCACCAGGTTGAGAATTGGAAATAAAAGTTCCTTTTTCTACATACGTACCATTAGGAAACAAATAAACAAGAAATGTCATCTCTTGGAACAGACAATCATTTTGCCATGGAAAGTAATCCAAAACTAAGAATGTAATTTCATTCTGTGTTATTATAACAAAATTGCTAACTGGTACAGCATTAAACATTTTCAACTTTACTGCGTTTCATTGGCGATACTTTTTAGACTAGTTAGCATTTTCAAAAACTGTATGAATATTATTTTTAGGTTGTCTTATATTACTAATTACGAATATCATATGCTCACCATTGCTCATTTTTCATTCAACCTGTTTCGGGTATAGCATTTTTTCTGATTCTCTTAACCCATTGCCGCCGGGGAAAATGAACAAAAAATGGGGAAAATACTGTGCTCATTTTTTTTTTTTTTTTTTTTTTTTTTGTGAACTGTCTCTACACAGATGGCTCTGCTTTACCTGATTTCAACTTTCCTTAAATTGGCGGGAAAATGTATTTTTTACTAGTGGTATGAATATAGATGGTATTATATATATATATATGTATATATATATATATATATATATATATATATATATATATATATATACATATGTATATATGCATACACACACACACACACACACACACATATATATATACATATATATACATATACATACATACATAAACACATACACACACACACACACACATATATATATACATATATATATTTGTTTATTTATTTATCTTTATATATATATATATTTATGTATATACATATACATAAAGGCTGATGATAAGGATATATATATATATTGCATATGCAAACACACACACACACACACATACACACACACACATATATATGTTATATATACACACACACATGTATATATGTATGTGTGTGTGTATATATATATATGTATATATATGTATACATACATACATATATGTATATATATACATATATATGTATGTATATATATACATATATATGCATATATATATATGTATATATATACATACATACATATATGTATATATGCATATGTATATGTATGTATATATACATATGTATATGTATGTGTATATATGTATATATATGTATATACATGTACATATATGTATATGTATGTATATATGTATATATATGTATATATATGTGTGTGCGCGTGTGTGTGTGTGTATGTGTGTAATTATGTATGTGTGACATGAAATTCGCTTATAAAGAAATATGGTATAAAATAAAAGATATAGCCTCTGTATCTACCTTCAAATAATATATATTTATTGAATACTCAAACCTACAGACAATTCATTCGAACATACACGCAGCCACACCAACCTAATCGAATGCGCTCTCTTTGGATCGACGCCGCACCCCTTCCACCTGAAGCCGAGGTACTTTACATGTGCCTGGCCTAAAGCCTGGGCCCGCAAGTGACGTAGAAGTCATCAGGCGTCAGGTCATCGCCCAGGATAGGGTCGGTGTCAGCCACGTTGAAGATCGTCAGCGCCTGGCTCTTCATGGCGCTTTGAGTGGAGGTCTCGTTGCAGGCGCCGGAGAAGTAGAACTCAGGGCCCTTGATGGGGGCGTCGCCGTAAGCGCTGACGCAGTCGTAGATGAATTCGTAGGGGAACCAGTTGCCCGAGGTGGAGCACAGGTAGTCGTTGGGCACGCTGAGCTCAGGCGACGACACCTGGAAGTCCCCATCCTCGCCACACATCGACACGCAGAAGCGGCCGGAGTAGCTGTCGTGGCACACGAGGGCGCCGAAGATGGGCAGGGAGAGGGTAGTGCAAGGGACGCCCTTCACTGTCACGGTGAAGGAGCAGCTGGCTGTGTTGGACGAGTTGTCATAGGCCGTGTAGACGACCTCGTGCCGGCCCCACGCCATGATCGTGTTGGGGTCGTAAGTGCTCTCCACCTGGCAACAAACAACAGTCATTATCTTAATTATCTATGATAACATTCACAATCACTCACTCAAATGAATAATAATAGCTTGTACGGAGAACAGTTTTGTTCTATATCCTAACCCGTATGTGAGTATACATTTCCGTATACTTTTCAATCTACTACCCACATAGACAAATGTATAACCCAAACTCGTCACACATTTCCGTCAGCCGTCCTTACCTTCGCAATGTATCCCGAATCGTCAATGAAAATGGGATCCTGCCAGCCAACCGCGAGGGGCGACGAGCTCTCGACTGACTGCGAATTCGGGCACTGAATGACCGTGGGGGGAGTCTGGTCTGTTGGGCATAGGGCATGGAGGTCATGAGTCGTGGAGTTAAGGCTTGTGAGGTCTGGTTAAAGGGGGGGAGGGGGTACAGCTGGTTTGTTGTAAGATGAGAGGTAGAAATGAGGAAATTGTGATTTTAAAACTATTTTAGTTTCAGTCTCTCACTTTGTGTTTCCCACTTTTTCTTCTTTAATTCACACTTTCTCTCTCTCTCTATCTATCTATCTATATATCCATCTATCTATCTATCTATAAATCTATCTATCTCCCTCCCTCCCTCCTTCTTCCACTCTCTTTTCTCCCTCCCACCCTCCTTCCCTCTCCTTCCCTCTCTCCCTCCTTCTCTCTCCTTCCGTCCCTCCCTCCTTCTCCCTCCTTCCGTCCCTCCCTCCTCTCCCTCTCCCTCCCTCATCCCCCCCCTCTCTCTCTCCATTCCAGAGCACCTCCCTGCTTACCTCCGGGAGAGACAGTGACGGTGTAGCTGCAAGAGTTCACGTTGTAGTTGAAATCCGTAGCAACGAATTTAACATTATAACTTCCGGGAGTCAAAGCAGTAGTCACGGTGGTATCTGTTTGCTGCACGTCGTCCACGAACAGCTGCAATCACAGAGCGAGAATTGCTGGTGTTTACTGTTTTATACACACGCACACACATACATTTATGCATATTTATTCATACTACATATATGTAATTTATACTTATACACACATACACAAACACATATACATATATTTATATATATATGTATATAGGTATATGTATATATATATATTATATATATAGATATATATATATATATGTATTTGTGTGTATGTGTGTGTGAACTATGTTGTGAGCATAGCGGCAACATCTACAGTCTCCTAGGAAATAAAACTGCAAGACTGAGGATGCGCCGAGGCCTCCTCCGCCCCCCACCTCAAGGAGCCAAGCGTTGGTGTTGTCGGACACCTCCGGGGGCGTGATCGTGTACCACATGGAGCCCCAGCCGAAGGGCGTGGTCACGTCGATCGCTGAAGGGCACGTGAGGAAGTTGGGCGCCTCGCCGTCTGTGGGAAAGGAGCGTGCTCTTTGATTCCTTATCGTCATACGAATTCCGAAGCAGAAGGATGGATTCTGATCGGCTATGTTTTCAGTTTATTTTCAGGGTTTATTTAATTAATTGAACGTATCCAGATCCGGATGCATTTAATTCGTTGGCCACATTCAAATCAGGGTGAATCTAAATCGATGAACGGTTTCGAATCCAAATAAGTTTAAAGCGTATTCAAATCCCAGTGAATTTAAACCTCTGAACGTATTCAAAATCCGAACGAATTTAAACCCCTAAACGATTCAAATAAGGATGAATCGAAATCGTTCTAACGCATTCGAATCCTCTTTACCGCTACCTCGTGATCTGACCGAGCCAAAGAAAACGGCGCCTCTACTTACCTATGCACAGGAAGACTATTCCATCATTTTCAGTCCATTGGCCGTCGCTGCAGGTGAGAATAGGCTCTCCCTGAGCT